GAGAGGAAAGGCCTGCAGGAGCTGAGCGGGAGGGACCGCAGGGGTGGGGCAGGAGACCCCGAGGAGGCCCCTGAGCAGGGCTGAGGCTGCCTGGGGCGGGTGCAGGGCCAAGTGGGAGTCTTGGGCCTGTGGGATGGATGGAGAGTGGCCCCCTCCAAGATATAAAGAGAACAGACTGGTAAGGGCCAGAACCCTGGTTCTTGGGGGCACATGGCCTTTGTCCCATGGCCTCAGCCCCATTTCCTCCCTAATCAAATCCAAACATCTTACCGGGGAGCCCGAAATACCAGCCCCCACATCCCACCCCCCATTCTGGCTTCTTTCTGTGTATCCAAACGCGTCCCATCTTTCAAGCAAAAGCCTTGGTTCCATCTGCCTCCTCCAGGAGTCTTCCTCCTCCCAGTGCCCACCCTCTCACCCTCCAGACTTTTTGCAAGCAATGGCTGTTGTGGGGTGCAGTTCACATCTGTACCTTCCATCCCCAGGAACACGCTTCCTTCCTAGGAGAATGGAGTTCTATCACCTCCCCCTACCGGGGGTCCAACCCAAAGCTGCCTGAGACTTGGTCAAGCTGCAACGCGCCCACTGGGCAGGCATACGTACCAGCAGCTTGCCTGTCTCCAGGTCCCAGGCCCTCACAGTCTTATCGTAGGATGCGGCAATGACTCTGGAAATAAGATGATGAACATTGTTTCTTTTTTTTTTTTTTTTTTTTTTTTGAGACAGGGTCTCCTTCTGTTGCCCAGGCTGGAGTGCAGTGCAGTGGTGCAATCCTGGCTCACTGCAACCTCCGCCTCCCAGGTTCAAACGACCCTCCTGCCTCAGCCTCCCGAGTAGCTGAGATTACAGGCACCCACCACCATGCCCAGCTAATTTTTGTATTTTTAGTAGAAACAGGGTTTTGCCACGTTGGCCAGGCTGGTCTCACACTCCTGACCTCAAGTGATCCACCTGCCTCGGCCTCCCAAAGTGCTAGTATTATAGGCGTGAGCCACCGCGCCTGGCCAAACATTGATTCTTAACAACAGAGACAGTTAGGTCTGTGGTCCTTTCCATCCTCCCCTCCCTTTCCTTTTCTTTTTTGAGCCAGGATGTCACTCTGTCATCTAGGCTGCAGTCCAGTGGGGCAATCCTAGCTCACTGCCACCTTGAGCTTCTGGGCTCAAGTGATCCTCCTACCTCAGCCTCCTGAGTAGCTGGGACTGTGAGCACTCACCATCATGCCTGGCTTTTTTTTGTTTTTTTTTTTTTTAAAGAGACAGAGTCTCACTATGTTGCCCAGGCTGGTCTCTCCTGGCCTCAAGCGATCCTCCCACCTCAGCCTCCCGAAGCACTGGAATTATAAGAATGAGCCACCATGTCTGGCCTGCCTGTGACTTCTATGAAGACTTTTTTCATTTTTCTAATTTAGGACCAAGATTATAAATAATACAATCATCTTTAAAAGACTGCTCCATCACCCACCCTAGGGACCATTCTATTCTCATTGAAACTAGAGAGAACCAGCCAAGCAAGGTGGTTCATGCCTGTAATCCCAGCACTTTGGGAGGCTGAGGCAGGCAGAACACCTGAGGTCAGGAGTTCAAGACCAGCCTGGCCAACATGGTGAAACCCCATCTCTACTAAAAATACAAAAATTAGCCAGGCGCGGTGGTGCGCACCTGTAATCCCAGCTACTAATATAACCTAAACCACCAAGAAACCACAGCACCATCATCCATACTCCTTTCAGCCACCCACAACATGCTCCTTTATATAACGGGCTTTCAAAGTATCATTTTTCTGTTTTCCTCTTCCTTTCTTTTTTTTTCCTTAAGACGGAGTGTTTCGCTTGTCGCCCCAGGCTGGAGTGGCACGCATCCGTGACCTTCGCTTCACTACAAACTCCACCTTCCAGGGTTCAAGCTGATTCTCCTGGCTCAGCCTGCTGAGCTGGCTGGGATTACAGGCCATGCCCCACCGCATGCCCCCGCTAATTTTTGTGTTTTTAGTAAGACCGGACGGGTCTTTCTCCATGTTGGGTCC